AAATCAAATTTATTTCACCGCACATTATGAAATCTTTCGAATTATTACATGAACTAGTGTTTATTACATGGACTGGAATTAAAAAAGAAAGCCACAAAGGTAGACAGTGTGAACTCATCAACATCAACGTTTGCCTACCCCATTGTCGCGACATTTGGTCTTCCATTATACTTTGTTTTCTCGTTGGATAAAAAAGAGTACAAAGATATACCTAGCACTATGTATGGCACACCATTCATTTATAATTACAGGTAACAAATTTGCATTAAAATTATGATGTTTAGGTAAAAAAGTAACAATAAATAACCTACAACACAGTTGCAAAACAAGTTTGCATTTTACTATAAGTATTTTGTACTTGTGTAGTCATTGCGTTTATGTGGGTTTAGTGTGACATAGCATATTTACTTGCTTATAAGCAGGCCAAAAGAAATAATGAACGAAATAACAAACAAAAGGAAATTTATTTATTTAAACGTAAGAAATACATTGGATGCTTAACGCGCTCAGACCATTGATTTCTATACATTTTACAGATCATTGATTCAGCCGCTGGCATCGGACGATTCGATTCCTCACTCGACTCTGTGTCACTTTTGTCCATGAAAAAAAAATTATCTTTGCTGCCGTCAAGGGCATTTGAGATTGAACACTTTTTAGCCCTTGCAACAACTTCTTTAGGAATGCTCTTTCAGGGATCATCTATCCAAGCGCATACTTGTGATAGACTATCCCGTTTCATGCACCCTGTGAACATGAGCATTGTCTTCTTTGGAGAGCCACTCTGAGTACATTTTCTTCAACCAGTCCCTGAATGGTTTGTTGATGCACACATCCAGGGGTTGAAGTAAAAACGTTAGTCCCACTGGAATAATTCCCAAGCCAGTTCCTGATCTTTCAACTCCTTCACAGCCTAAGTAGTGTGGGCCACGTATGAGTCCAAAACCAGGACGCTACATAACCTCTACTAAGTGCCAGAGCGTCAATGCCCCACCAACGGAACCCATTGTAACATCATGTCTTCGGTAAACCACCCTTTTTCATTTGCGCATACAATAACGCTCTTAGGAAATAACTGATTTTGAGAGGGTCTTGGGTTTGAACACAACAAATGGAGGTAATTCATTCTACCATGTCATCTGCATGGTCTACGAAAAATCGATACCTTTAGGGATGTCTGGTGTCAACTACGATATAGTAACACCATGACCCCGATTCTAAGCCGAGGGTCAATTTTTGAACTACAAAAAAGGGATAAAAAGCAAAAGAAGTTTGTATGGTATTGGCAGTTTATTTCATTGTGTACTGGTGTTTGTTGTAGTTTTGTTTCTTTGTACGAATTTGTTGTCATTAAATATGTTTGTTGTCATTTGTTGTCATTAAATACGAGTTTTGAATTAATATTTTGCTACATTTTTTTTAAAATTTGAAATAATTGTAAAAAATAATTTTCTTTCCCATTCTTTCATATAAAATGCAGACAAAATGACCATACTTAATCCAAAACATATGCAAACAGAAACTCACAGAAACTTCCTCTGTACTGAAGGTCAGTGTCACGGGCCTGGTTGCGTGTTTGGATAGCATCCAAGATGGCATCCGGGCTGACTAGGCCTGTAGGTCTCACTACAGTGAGCAGTTCTGTTAGAGACATCAGGGGCAATCGGACTGCTGACAATACAGGCTCTGCATCCTCGTCTGGATTCGCCTGTGCCCAATCAGCCACCGCATGGAAAATATCTGCCTCCGGAGCATAGAAGGAATCTCGGGAAATCAAATCCCGCAATGCACCCTGCAACAGAGCATGTGATTGCCTCTTTTTGAGTATTTCATAAATACAAAGAAAAAAGATGAATACTCAGTATAATCTTTTTGAAACATCTTTTAACTAGTACAATTTCACAGCGGCAACCCTCTTAAACCCAGAGAGAACACGTGGGATGATGTGAAGTCTATGCTTTTTGATTAGTCAGTTTTATATTAGAATTTTTTATTCTTATTCTTCTTTTTATTCTCTCATATTTTATTTATTCTCTCTTTTATTCTTAAGAATTGGAGAAAGGTATTGTAAATCTACAATACCTTTCCCCAATTCTTTAACTGTAAATTCCATTGTCAAATAGTTTCAGTCCAAATTCTTACTTATAAGTCACTTCTTAAGATTTCTATGTGGATCTGAGTGACCAAAAACTTCCAAAGCACACAGCTGTTAGCTGCACAATGACAAGGAGATCCAGCTTGCATTTGCTTAAGGAGCCCTTATGGTCACCTTCATTTCTGGCAACATAATTCAATCAGGCATGCTTAACTTTCAGGAGGGGAGATACCCTAAACGTGTGAATGCACAATTTGATTTTGAAAAGATATTGCATGCAAGAAGAAAAACAAAACTAACTATGGCAAACGATATTTGACATGAAATTTGAATAACAAAAACATCTCATGAAAGTGAAATCCAAAATCATATACAAATTACATAGATTCTTAAAAAATACTGTTTTTCGGTACGAGTAAAGTGTTTCAGACAAAAACAAAAGCAAAAAGGATGTTTTTTGGCGCAGCATTATATAACTTTCTCTGCACTATGTATAATACATACGTATATGAGACAGCAAAAATTAAAAAGAAAAAAATGGCATAATAGCCCAAAAGCACTCTTCATATCAAGTTGATTGTGAGAAGAGAATACATAGCAAATATAGGCTTTACAACGACACCAACAAAAAAATATATAAAAGACTGGAAAATGCAAAAGGCAGGAACATAAAAACTGGGTTTTGCTGTAATATGAGTACCACAGCTCCAGCACAAGTTTGCCAATGGTCACAAAAGAAATGAGTCGTTTTGATGTTGCCCTCCCCCCCAATTTCATTTGGCTGAGATTACTGAATACTAAACTTAATGAACTTTAGATTCCTTTCACCCTAATTTATTCCTTGAATGTATACACACAAGTGCAGGACCAACCAATGTTTTCATGAAATCAAAGGAGACCTTGACAGATTTTTCTGCCTCTAAGGTTGCTATTATTGGTATTTCTCCCAGATACAGCAGAGATGTTGGTACAGTTAGGTCGGATAAACAATCAACACTCCCAGTTACACATATTCCTTGGAACAAAAAATAACATTCCACTGTTTTCACATTGAATCTCCAAGTAATAGCAACTCTATTTTTCGTGCAATGTCTCTTGCATATTTCTGCTTGATTTTTGTTAAAAACAAGAAACCGTTCTTTGCGAATTAACTCTTAACCTGATTGGTAATACTGTCACTGTCTTGCAGTAAGAGGAATAATATTCCCATTGATTCTTCCAATTCTATTAATGTTTTGGAAAAATGTTTCCAGCATCCTGACATGAACACATCAAGTACTCAGATTTACTAAGAAATCTGTAGTTTATAATGTAAACACTAATGAAAATGCAACAGCACCGTGTGTGAGTTTGCATTTACATACAGCCAAAACAAGCAAGGTATAGCCAATCACAAATAGCAGGATGTGTTTGTTTACATGCAGGATAAATGCAGAGTAAACAGACCTTTACAAGAGAGTTTTAGCACCACATGTTGCTGTGGAGTGACATTACACACTAACATGGAAGTTTTACCCATCTTCCGTTAGGCACAAACTTATTAAACTTATGAACCTTAGACCTAAAGGCACAAACTTACCTCTTTCTAGTAGTGCACGTTGTAAAAGTCTCTATGGTCAACTTACCCCCCAAAATGGCAAAATGGTGCAGTACCCGGAAAAGATGATTCGCCAATTGGAAAAACTGTTCTCTCCTTTGTGAGCAGTTATATTCACCATTTCAATGTTCTTTTCCCCATTTTCTTTGGAATGTGGCCTGTATCTATGCACAGGACTTCCTTTTTTTGCCTGTTTCTGGTCCTTCTTTTTTTTTATCTCTCGAGCGGAAGCGTATTTTTAACTGTGTTAATTTCACTCAGGTAGACGACACTGTTACTGCCGTACAACTAAATACTTTGGGATTTAGGCGGTTTCCTTCTTGTAGGCAGATTTCAACCATTTCTTGTTGATTGAAATTCCGTTTGGTTTTTCAAGGCTGCAGTTATATTTATGATGGCATTGAGAAGTAAGCATTTGAGATGGTCACAGAATGAACTAAGTTGAATCAGTAAACATTCTGTTGTGACAAAGTTCAGAAAAAACTAGATTAGAAAACATTTTCTCAGAAGTGATGACTTGACTGCGCTGATAAATGTCAATTACAGGCTTATTTATTTAGTGATCTGGGTTGAAGCTCTCTGACTAAAAAATTTTTTCCACAGTTATGTATTACGATTAGATAAGTAGTTAATATGTTTTTTGTAACAATACTATAAATTGTCTGGAACAATAGCAATTAAAAATAGTTGCACACGACCATCTGCAGGGCCAGAAAATCTAAATTTTTTGAAATATAACGGAGATTTGTTTACTGCTTTACCGTTTTGTGGTTCAATGTTTCAAGCCAATTGTCTACACTTTCTTAATAATGTTATAAACTTCATTGTTTTAACGCTTAAAATGCGCTTTGTTAAAAAAAAAATAACACACAAGCCTCGTCAAAATCGCTAAAGCTAATCAGAATACTTGTATTTCAAACATATAAATTGTTAGCAAATGATCTCTAGTTCTGAGGAAGTCTTCTCAAGTTGGTTTTAACAACTCGTATGAAGACTAGAAATGTGGTAACAATAATCAAGATCACAGAACAGTGCAGGAAGCTCTTCATGGGTGGAATTGACTTCAGAGCAATGTCGCTCCAATGAATGCCAACACACAATACCGTGTTGAGGAACTGCCAAATGGTAAGAGTCTGCGTGCATCGAACCACCATGCAAACATTTTCGCACGGGAGAGGGCTTCCAAACGCAGGTAGTCGGAAATGGATGCTTCAAAGGTCACTAAACCCATACTGGTGAGCTAGTCCAGAGTGTCCAGCACACTTCCTCTGCAAATAAACACATATTTCTAAGATTTTTTTTTTAGAACAAGGTTGAACAGAAAACTCAAAGTGTTTTAAAAATACGATTTCTCGCTGACAATGCGCTGTTTCTTTTCCTTCAACATGAGTTCAAAACATTCATGTTTACATTCCATATTTTTCAATAGTTGTTATTGTAAGTCATATTATAATCATCATGTACGAAAAATGGGTATTACTCGCACAACTTTTCTTGAACAATGGATTGAAGAAATGCAGGTAGAGTGGAGGTATTAAGTACAAAATCGACCAATAGATTTTATGAAGCAATGCCAATCTCTGGAGCATTGATCGTGCCTTTGCAACTTTAATAACTAACTCAATAACTTGAGTTGTGCCTTTCTTAGGAGTTCGAAGTATCTCCTGTGATGGATCTTCACCTGCTTCAGTTTTTTCTTTAGATTTTTTTGGAGAAAAGCACGAACAGAAGCTCTGGTTTTCAACAGAAAATAGTTTCTATTTCACACCAGAGAATAAATGTTTGGAATGTTGTCATTAGTGCTCACTGTCAGCTTTTGACTTCAACTGTTTCTTGTGCCAGAGAGGAGGGTATCATGGTCATTGCTCAAGAAAAGTTGCGCAATTAATACTAAATGTTTTATTTTTTTCACATTAATCAGCTGCTTAAGATACCGAAACTAAAAATTCCAGACAATAAAAACCGAAGGATTGCATTTCTTTGTCCAAGAGAGTTAAAAATATACTGACCTGAAAAAAATCCATTAGCTTGTTTGTGTGAACTGTATAATAAGCCAAGTGGTCAGATATTTAAAATAAAAATTAAACTAACTGAATCCTACAAATTTTTAAGAGCATTTACTTAAAAAACAACAACAACAGGTGCCCTTTTAATACTGGAATGGAGTTTGCAGGTGTACTTACAGACAATCTGTGCAATGCTTTATAATTTCCTAATCTAGGGCAATTTTATTCATTTATGACGTTTCCTGGTGAATTTCTGTCAACTCCTTTGCCCATACAAGAAATACCTGTGAGTGTAAAGGTGGCAAATTTGTAACAGCAAAACTTAAAACGAGCAGTGGTATCTTCCACTCTACTACACATATCCAATTACATGACGAAGCTCTTGCTTTTGCAATTAGCACAAAATACCCTTGTGTTTGAATTTTGGATTTTTGGATTTTATTCCAAAGAACATTTTTGCCGAACACTTACTTCACATCTGATACTTTACTCCATGTGTCAAAGTTCATAACAAGATATTGGCCTTTGGCATATACAATTCATTTAAAACATTCTTGAGCCTGTCCAACATAATTGACGCTGAACCTTGTTAGGCAGAAGTCTGACACCACTCTTTTGTTTCCCACAATGTTAACTTATCTCACCCAATTAATTGCAATTATAAGCTGTGTTGTGAACCTCAATTGCTGCCAGGCAAAAAAACTTATCACTTCAAATTTAGGTTAGCAACATATTTTTTAAAATACTCTTTGAACGCCGCACAGATTCCCAGTAAGAAACCTTCAGTCAATGTGATGCTTGAATTTTAGAAGAGATATTTTTTAATAATAATAATAATAATAATAATAATAATAATAATAATAATAATAAACATAATAACAACGTAACCCCGTGGCTTCTAGAGCGGGAATGAGGTTTCCAATAAAACACATTTAACTTTAACAAAATAAACAATTAATATCTAGAATAATGCTGAGTGATGGATGATTTTACATGACATTTTACTAGTATAACACGTGCGTTGATGTTGTTGATGATGATGATTATGTTGATGTAGTTGATGTTGCTGTTGGCGTGGCAGTACAGCATGCCCAACTGGTGGGGTTGTTGACTGGTGTCAAGGGCCGGTCGCCCCCGGACAGCTGCAGGTTATCACGGCCGTACTCCAGCGCGGTCGCACCCATCTGTCTCGTCTCTCTAGGCCGGACCCATGAATGGCAACCACAATGCTCCAGACAGCCACGGCTCTCGTCGGCAATGCCGGGTCAGAAATCATCCGTCTCCGGGATCAGGTAATCACGGACGATCCACTATCGTAGATGGGATAAGCTGGCCTATGGCACGTGACAGCGTGCTACTGTGCACCAATTACTGGCTAATGCAGTTCACGGCCAGCGAGAATACTTCCCGTCCCCGGGAACTATGTCTCCTTTCTCGAGAATCTCAAGTGATTCGGAGCCAAAACTCCCTCCGCGAGACTTCTAAGATGAATTATTGAGGGCCGGCTTCCCTCTGCAAGATTTCTTAAGTAATTTCTGAGTGCTCGACTTCCCTTGCAAGATTTGTAACACAAGTCATTGTGAGAGCTGCTCTCCCGAATCGTGAAGGCTCCCCCACTCCCTCTTCTCCAGTGAGAATCCACCCGATTGTGCGAATTTGTGTGAATTTCGCGCAGCATGGTGGGGTGGAGCTTCGACCAATGACGCGGGATCCTTCCTAACAGCCAAAAACTTCGTTTGCCGCCGTGGGCAAGCTTTCTCTCGCGGCCGGGGAAAAAAGTCGGTGTGACCCCCACTGCGAAGCAGCGTGCGCGCGCGCGCCGAAGTTCGTTGTGTGGTATATCTGTCTTGCCAAGTGGGTGTAACTGACGTCGGGTCTCTCTGACTTGCAGTCGCTTGGGGGAGGAGGGTCACCCTCTTGGGAGCTCAGCGGGACGCGATTGCCGACAAAGGTTCCCTCCTTTCAAACGACGCGGGGGCGTCCTGTGTCATAAATGAAACTCGCCTCAATAGAGCAGGGGAGGGACGCGGGGCAGGTTCCTATGAATTCCAACGCTGTGAAAGCGCTGGGTCCGCGATTGTATTGATAGATACTACTACGTCGAATTCGCGGCAGCTCATACCGTTACAACACAAAAATGTTTTACTTTAATTACAAATATAAATCACAATTTAAAATATTTTAAAACTATTTTCACAAACATTTAGGGACGAATTGAAGGGTTCGGTTATAAAACATAACCCCACATAAAATATCAACAAACAGGAGTCATCTCTGGGCGATGAATTGAACTATTTGAGAATGACACCCCACGACGATGAAAGCATCCAAAATTATACTTATACCCAAGCCCTTTAATATTAAACACATTAAAACCTAACTTTCATTAACTTCATAAAACACCACAAACTACTTCTAAAATAATAAATTGTCAAGTCTACTTTTCTTTTTGACTTCCGATTTGAACTGCACTTTTTGAAAATTTGGGCAGCGCCCAGCACTGAAAGAAATGTAAAGGAAAGTATTGCTGACTTGTATAAGAAGTTGGAAGTGCACACACGCACCTTTACCCTTTGACTGCTCTAGGCGAGTTGATAGGCAAAATATTTCCGCACCTCTGGACGAGTTATTACCCTCAGTATGGTTGTCTCTGGGAGCCTGTGGTCGAGATTGAATGTGGAACCGCAATGTGTCCCGGGAGTCTCTGAATAAGTTCGCACAATGCTGATGTGCCTTCGGCTATAGCTAGGACTAACTGATAACTGCGATATCTTGCGTGGTTATGTGCAAGCGTGCTCAGATCACAACAGAATCCTCAGCAAGAAGCATGACGCAATGAGCGTGACTTAGTCGGCCGGACCGCAGGACGCAGTCGGCCGGACCGCAATATAGTATAATCACATGATAAGGCAACAAAATTTAGAAATCTGATAAAACTTGAAAATCAGAAGTCAAAACTTTTTTGTGGAGCCTTTATTTGCTTGCAAAAAATTCCTCTCTAACGAACTAGTCTAAATAACTACTGCAAATAATCTTAAATTAACTAGTTAAAAATAATGAAAGCCTAAGCATTTGCCACTGACCTGACTTTTCTCTGAAGAACAGGTCTCTTCAAAATTTTAAACAGCAGAAGTTTAACTCAATAATCAAAATCAGGTTTCATTGTAAATTTTGAGTGCTGCGAGCAAGAGTAAAACCCTGGCTTCCCCTCCTTCCTTCCTGACTTTCCCTTCCCCTGGTCAAGTCACAGCTCGAAAACACTTTCACTATAGTTTCGGTTCCCTATCATACATTTCATACAAGTGTGAGCTAGGAAGATGACTGTTTGTAACAAACAAGTGAGCTTTACTTTCTTATGTTAGCAGAAAAAATGAATCTTTACTACAACACTGGCAGCGACTATGCGGTACAGGAAGCGACTATGGCAGTTCATTTTAACTTGATATGGAATAAATGATTTATCAAACATCCACTGTCTAAAATTTTAAAGAGACCTATTCTTAAGAAAAAAGACAAAAAATAATAAGACAGTATTCAATTGTATAACACTCACCTTCTGGTTGGCAAGAGACATGTGGCCTGTATAGATATACTTCAGAAGTCCTCTGAAGGCCTGCAACGATGTGCCTTTCAGTTCAATCTCAGCCTGCTGAGACTCTCGCAGTCCACCATATAGCATTGCTCTGCATCACACACACAAAACAAATCAGTATTCAAACCAGAATGCTCTACTGGGTACTACACATAGAAACTATGGTGATTACACTTTTAAAATTTGCTATGCTTGCATATATTGAGAAAAAGTACTCTACAGAGCCCACAGTTCAAATAGTGGCACAAGTAATTAAATTCAGGACCCCTGGAATTCTCTCATTAGAGACTGAACCCAATTTACAGCAGAATCCTGACCATGTAAAGAGGTGTTATTATTAGGAACTAGGTTTATTATCATCTCTCATGATGCAACACATATGTTACTTAACACTTAAACACTAACGCCCCTTAATGAAGCAAAATATGACATAAGATTGAAGGGAGTAGAACCAACATTCTTCAGCTTTGCTACTGCAGAAAAAAAAAGCTTAGAATTTCCTAGAGTTGGACATAGAGAAAAGAACGATTGAGGAGGCTATCAATATGCTAAAGCTAATGAGTCACAGGGGAGTGGGTGCATCTCTGGCACACTCCCAGTCGCTAAGTCTAAAGATCTTAAAAGAGGAATGGAACTCAAGGTTGACTTAATGTAATCTTATGGACATATTGTAGAAGATAAAAGTGTGACGTTCATATTTTAACCTCTTTACTATTGGAAATTTAGTTAATCTATACATACTAATAAATGTGAATTCAATGACACGTAATCAACATCAATACCACAAAAAATAGTGTATGAATGGATACGAAATTTTTACAGGGTCTTCTTCAGGGTTGTGGCAGTCCCTTAACAATCCAGGATCCAAGATTCGTCATAATTTGTTTACTATTTTTATTTTATTGTAAGAAGTTTTACGAATTTTATTGTTTCAATGTTCAAGACCCATTGTCAATTTTTGAAAAGATACTTGAAAAATATCCCCAAAAGGATCAAAATAATAAACAAAATACAATATTAAAAGATAGTATTAATGTATTTTGGAAAAAAGATCACAATATTTTTATCAGAATATTTAGTACTAAGCGTCAGTGTGAGTAGTGTTACCGTTTTAGTGAACAGAGTTCATTTACAAATCTGGTATCACATGTAACAAGCAATAGGCTGTCTTTGATTATGTGGAAAAACTATCAGGCTCCTCATGTTCCTCTATGAACACAAAATTGTTTCAGTCCTGCATGCAAAAGCAAACTACATGAAAATTACATATACTTCGCTGTCCGAGAGACGCTGTGTCCTAGGTACAGATGCCAAAATTTTGGCTGTCATACTGTTACCTTCCTCAGGGCATTATGCGTGAAGGAACAAGTTGGCATCTGTGCCTAAGGGCTGCATTCATAGTCAACACTTTTATCATAGGTACACGCTTAAGTAATAAGCAGTCACTTAAAATAAGGAACTCTTAAGGAGTTTCGTATTCATAGACCCCACTTATTCAAGAGTCGTTCTCAGGCAATATTTTGCTAAATAATATTTGGCAATATTGCTTTATTGGTTACTAATTACTAGAATCTAGAAGGCTGTGTCAATTATGTTTATAATTTTGGCGGTTCTTTTAAGCGTATGAGTAGCATTTTTTTTTCATTGACAGGTTTCGTCAACAGAAAACAAATTATAAATTTCGTTTCGGTGCTTTGATGCATTAAGTCCTGAGCGGATAATTGCTATTGGTAGAATTTTCCCCATTTTACATGATTAGTAAGTATAATTATTGGTGTACGATATTTGTACAACACATGAAGGGAATTTTATGAACTTTTTAATATTTATTGATACCACTTCAGATATATTCTGTAACGATTCTACAAACTGAAGGCTGTCTTATTCTATAGAGATCTGCACATATCAACTAAAAAAGCAATAAAATAAAACCCCTTTTTCAAATGATGTATTGTGAGCATTGTAAGAACCTATAAAACAATGGTCCTTATAGGATAACCTACAAAATATTAGTCTACAATTCAATAAATTACGTAACTGAAATGATGATGTCACATAAAATCTCTGTGCCATTAGAATTTTTAGGACTGGTGATAATGGTTATCCTCAATTCCTCAAGACCATGTAGTGACTCCGCAACAGAGACACTAATGTTTACAACTGAATTATTGTCAAAATGATCTCTCTTCTTCAAATTCTTGTTGCCAATGCATTTCCAAAGGATTTTCCCTCCCATGCATTTCCATATACCTCAAATATCGTTTTGGTACACGATCTTCCATGTTGATTTCAATAATTCCAAAAACTCAAAAAATCTTTGCTGTTAATCCATGTTGAAAATTAAGGGTCCACTTAAACGTACAGATAAGCTTACTGATAAGAATAAGAGAATGCTTAAGCAAACACTTACGTGATGACTATGAATTGAAAATGCAAATAAGTAAACACTTATAGTGTTTCTCAAATATAAGTGTCAACTATGAATACAGTCCTAAGACACGGCACCACACAGACAGCCAAATATGACTCCAGCCACAGAACAAATTTTATTTATTTCATATACAATACATGCAAACGCACAATTATAATTAGAACATTATTTAAAATCAAGTTTCTCACATTACATTTAAATTTATAAATCGAGCAATTTAGATCAATCACATCATTCCAAAAAGTTCTCAAAAAGGCCATGAATCTGGATAAGTGTGATTGGCTTAGTGTTCCTGGGCATGTCAACTGCTATGGTAATTTGCCCCACGAGGGTACTGCATGTTTTATTGTTCGAGTTGGCAGTGATCTTCCCCCGCTGTATGGTAAGATCCAGCACCAACCTACATGTCAGCTTGCTGGGTTCCCCATCCAGGTATCTTACACCAGCGTACTTCTGTTCCAAATGGGACACCCTTTAAGCTGCTGATCAGTCTTTTGACATTAGTTATACTGAAATGCATGTAAGTGTGTGTAAGGGGATGAGGATAGGACATTGACAAATACCAATCTGAGCAGCCAGCTGCTACAAATCTCCTGCAGGCAGCTGCTGAACTCGACCCCGCTATCGAACTAATGTTGAAAATCCTGACAACATCGGGACTCGAAACCCTGGACCCTCTGGTTCTAACTTAACGACCAGGAAACCAACATCATATCACAAAAGGTATGGATGAATATATACTACATTTTTACACTCTTAAAGATTGTCTTTCACCAAGATCTATATTTTATAATATATATATATATATATATATTATATATATAATATATATTATATATAATATATATATATTATATGTATATATATATTAATTTATATATAATGGAAGTACTCTATTATTGTATATTATGTATATATTATGAAAAACAACACAGTATTTTTATTATATGTTAATCATCTAGAGGTAAATCTAATGAATAAACATTAATCTAATTCATAGAATTAAGACAAATTTATTGATTTCATTAGAACCAGAAAGAGGGAGTGCAAAGCTCTGAAATGCTCGGTTTGACTAGAAAACACCGTTTTAAGTTTAATTTTATTTGTTAAAAAAATACCGCTCTCTGATAATTTCAAAGGGAGTCGTTTCTTAGAAGTCGAGAAATGCAGCAACAAGACGAACGCCAAGGGACTGACCGGAAGTACTCGCTGCGCGCCGCCAGGATGACGCGGTGGCCGTGGAAGCGCTGGCCCTCCACCGTGAGCACCACGTCGCTGTACTCATCGTTGAGGTAGAGGCCGCCGATGTGCTCCGAGAGGAAGGTGATGTGGTCGATCTCGCCCGAGGGGGCGCTAGGGCCCAGGTGGTGGTGGTGGGAGCTCATGGCCCCCTCGACGCCGCCGCCGCCGCTGCCGCCGCCGGCGCCTGCCAGGGCTTCCGCGCACCGCTGCCCGCTCACGGTCCCTGCGCTGCACACACGGCATTCAATTAAATCAATCATTCATTCATTCATTCATCCATAGTGGTTTTAGAGCTCTTTATCTGCTGTGAGCGGAGAAGGGAGAGCTGGGCCAACTTGCCCCAAACTTGACTTCATCGGGGCCCCGAAAATGTACTTTCATTTAAAAGAAATGAATTCACTTCTAATTCAAATTAACTGCCGTAAGATATGGATAGGTAAAAATTGAGTTATCTTCCACAGTAAAATTGTTTTTATTGAGGGGCGGCGTTTGATACAATGGCGCTCCAAGGACATACAACCCCACGCCTCTGTTTTCTCTGGGCATCCCTCGCTAAGATGTGGAGCGAGTGTATGTTGTATTCCGTAAGTGTAGTGAATATAACTCGGGAGGTGGCGGTGTTCCTCGCCCGCTTGAACTTAGCATTCGGATCCGACCCGCACGACTGCATGCGGGGCGATTCCCCCGTCTCTGGCAACTCTGGCAAGCCCCGAATGATTTCCAGACGCGAGTGCTGCATGAAGGTTTGAAAGGGGATAGGAAGGGTAGATCGCGCGCTGATCGTGGCCCATTTATAAGAGCATTACGGCATTCACCAGGTACTGGTCGAAGAAACCACGGAAAACTACGGATGACAGCAGCCGGCCACTAGAAGTCTTCTCCAGGCAGTGGCTGTATCTGACCTAGCTTTGTGTGGCTAGAGTCGAAAATCCTGCTACCGTCGGGACTCGAACCCTAGGCCTTCCCGCTCAACGATGCTGCAGCAAATGCAATAGCGAGGCCGCTGAGCTAGCGCTGCCGGTGCTTGGGATGGACATTTACGATCACGCGCTGCACACGGCCCGTTGAAGAGGGTGATGATACTCTGACATACGCTAGGGAGCGGTCAGGGAAACCACGCAAGCCTCTGATAAAAGCAATCGCCCCACGGACTCGATTTAGCCCGGTAACATGAACTCTCTGATATTAAATTTCCGAGATCGAACCCGCGACCTTCGCAAACGGCGGGCCAAGACAATGCAGGTCGCATAGGATGTATCGAAGACGCGGATGAAGTAAAGAAGGTAAAACATCCTATGTGGGCTGCAGAGGGTGTATGGGCACTGCAGTATAGATATGACGTCACCTAATTCACAACTTGCATGTTTTCACTTTTTACAAACCTTTTAAGCTGGTAATAGTTTATTACGCAATAATCTTTATTATAAACGAAAACGTTTCACGTCAAAAATCAAACGCGACAAATCCAACAAGTTTCAATCGTATGACAGAAACAGTAATTTTTTTTCCTTTTACACCTGGAAGAGAAAGTCCTTGTCGTAACTTTGAGCATCGTTTTACACTGGGTCCCCTTTCGTGTCAAAGTACCTCTAAAAAAAAGTGAGCTATTCTCATTTGTTACAGATTTAAAAGGGACTATCTCTTCAAAAATTATGCAATATTCTTTAAACTTGCGCTATTTTGTCTAGACCAGAGGTTCCAACAGGGTCAATAACCAAGGGTTTCTTTGGCAGGTCGAGAGTCAAATGTTGCACCGAAGTACTGATCGGTGGTAAATCAAGATGTTATTGTTATTTAATATTTTATATATAATTATATATATATAATATATATATATATATAAATAATTCTATATAATATAATATATATATATATATATATATATATATATAACCATTTACTGGTACACCTTTTTTTGCTTATTCATGGGGTACCTACACATTTTTCAGTTATTATTACACATTAAAAATTACAGCGAAGTTACAGAATAAAAAGGTGCTCAAAAAAATTCTAGATTTTAAAATTGAATATCTTCCTTTATATTCGTGTAGGAAAAGTGAAACTTGGCTCATATATCATAACATTGTTTCTGAGAGCACACAATTTCAAACACCTTTCTCTTACCATTACTTCAGAGATTAAGTTTTAAGTCCATAATTTTGGTAAGAATCTACAAAATAGGGCATTTTCTATCTTCTTTCCCAGAAAAGTACCTTCTAGAAATGCTTCCCATATACAAACAAGTAAAGTAATATTCTAAGATTTGTGAAATTTCTTGTTAATATTGATTATTGTAGCAAGACTTCCAACAGTTATCACTGTCAAAGTAGCACATTAACAACCTTTAAAAAAATTAAAATGCTGGAGGGAGAAAGGCAACTGACATTAAATACATTCTTTATGAATGCAGAGGTATGAATGTACATATTAGTGTCATTCATACATTTAAATATGAGAAATTACAATGAAACTTTCACAATCTGATAATACAATTAACTAGCTGGCGTTTCATAATTAAAACGATAAAATGAATGAATTGAAAAGAAATAATGTCAATGGATTTCTAATCATAATGGGAGCAATTTAGAAAAAAGAAACCAAATAAAAAAATTACATTTCTTCAAATCAATACGTAAAAAAACAACAGTTGCAGTATACCAGATCCATGATAGTGTAACAAGTTCCCTTGTTACAGTATCATGGATCTGGTATACTGCAACTGTTCTTTTTTTTCCCAAAGAAATTGTATTATGTACAAACAATATTATTGAAACAATAATATGTACTACACTGTATGATAGTAAATTAAAATATGCATTATATTTTAAACCAGGAGTTCTCAAGGGAGTCAGTAAAGACCCCTTTGGATCCCTTGGGTCAATAATCGAATAGTCAAATGAATTGGCATCTGATCAGTATAATCAAAATTCCATTGTTTTCTGGTATAACACAAAAAACCTGTAATAATAATAATAATAATAATAATAATAATTATTATTATTATTATTATAATTATAATTAACAAGTTTGCACCCCTTTGTTCACATAGGATGTTCATCCATAACATTAGGATGTTCAGAAAACTCAAGAAATTATTATGTATTCACAACAATACTGTATCGCATAGAAAGTACTCTGAGCAATACGCACTGGGGGAATCTTACGGTTAGTTCTTCAAAAACATTTTGTAACCAATGCAAAAAAAGAGGATTAGAAGCCTCAAAAGATGATTAGCTCCTCAAAAGTTGAGGTGTCTTCAATTATTGACAATGGAGATAATTACAAGAATATTGGTGTATGAAATTACTATCTTTTAAACATGTATGTACAACAATTCATTGTGTCATAATTATGGATGCTGTATATTACTGAGAAAATGTAAGATTGATGTAAAAAACAATTCTTTGAAAAGGGATGAAAGTAAGGGGTTGAGAATACCTGTTTGAAACATTGCTTCTTAATTTACTTTCTAAAGAAAACCTAAGAACCAATGAAACAATTGTTTTCATAATCCAACATTTTCAATTTTCCAAAGACCCCTTTCTCTGACATTATCCTGTGGTTCTACTGTACAAATTAAAACCTTTTGGAAGATTACAGAATGATTTAATCAGTTCCCAAAGAAATCTATGACCAAATATGGATGTGGAGTGAACATCTCCTTTGGTGTTAACTAAACGTACAGTATTTTTTATTTTCGGACGGTCAATAACTCATTTCTAACAAAAAAATTCTTCCATGAAGAAGGGGGAACAAAAAATTAACGTGTGTGAATGTTCAATGTTCGATAACTTTCAAAATTACAAACAAATTCTTATATTTACCTCCTAAAATAATGCTTTTGAATAGATCATGTTCACTTACTATGATTAATCACCTGATTGAGTTTTGTACCTTCAAAGATGGTTGTGGATCTTTTGACAGTTAATACTGAGCAACTGGCCACTATAGATAGATGTTAAATATGTTAAGAATGCAATTTTCCAATTCATTTAATTTTTTTAAAATTTATGCTTGTAGTTGGATAACAGCATCTCAGCTAATCAAATGGCAGTTCCACAGGATAATAAGCTACAGAAATGTAATTTTTTGTCTGTAGAATATTGTGTAGACAAAGTATGGACTGAATCAATGTTGGATTCATAAAATGAAATAATTAAAATAAAATTACATTATTCTATATGCAAAGTATTATTTTATGAAAGGTATCCAGAAGTGATAACAGGTAACCACACTGTTGGCACACATCACAGCAATTTTTTCAGAACAGATGAAAGGATTATTCCAAGTCAATTTCCACCTCCAGTTTCTAACCTTTTGGTCAATGCAATCGATTAAGCACAGCTATTTTACTACATATTTCCTGAACATTGTTTTTATCTATTTTTATATCACAAAGACATTCTCTGCATTTACAATTTCTAGTACACATCTATGATCCTTTTGAAACATTTTTTAGTATTATAGAATGTCCTTCAAGCTCAAAAATTGAGCATTACTGCAATATATATGAAATCTCAACTGTCTTGCCACTGATGCACATGACATTTTTCACTTTTTTTTCTTCCTACACAGCACCTAAATCTGAACATGAAAAGTTCTGAATTTCACTGTGTCTTGTGAGAATTGATAGAATTTATAATAGACTAATTCAAATCTCTTGTAGTAGAAGCAAGATGTGCAAACAACATAGTGTAGTACATCATTGGCTTAGAATAAATAACTAATCTCGCCCATCAGACATTTTTGAGGTTAGAAAAACAATTTGCAATGTGTATGTAAAATGCATACTTTTTCTCCTTCTGGAATGCAGCACAATGTCATTGTTGTCTTATTAGCTGGCTATTCAGTACCCTTCTTAATAATAATAATAATAATAATAATAATAATAATAATAATAATATAATAATAATTCTTAATTATAATTTTATTATGATGTTCAACAAGTGGTTTTGATTTGTTAGAACTTCAGGGCCTTCAGAAGTCGCAAATAATGATATTAAGTTGCTTATACATGTAATACATAGCCCACTAAATTAATAAAAGACACAAGGCAGTTGAATGAGCAAACAGACTTATTTGTAGTATTCTAAAAGATAAGTGTTGAAAATCATCAAGTATCAAGCCACTCAATTGAGGTGAGCTACATTTCCAGATTTTCATATAAAAAGTTTTGTGAATTTTCTGTTCCCTTTGTTGTTTGGTGGTTCATTCCCCACCCCACCCACACATCCTTCAACTTGTAATCTGCTTGTCTTGCAAGAGGCACAGGGTTGAGAAAACAATTGAGATAAAATTTGTCTCTCTGAATCATCTAAGTGTACACAAACTGAAAACTTAAATATGCAAAATTCGCTCAAACCCCTGCAAATACCAACAAGCTTTCAAGCACACTAAATTTAAGTATCATATTTTAAAGAAGGGTCAAAAACCTGCAAGAGATACTCCAATTAAACTTCGTCGATAATTTTGTTTCGTATATTTTTCAAGTTTCAAATTTTTTCTTTGAAAAAAAAATATCAATACAATCCTGAACAGTGATATCGAATTTTATGTTACTAAATGGAAAATATAATTTAGTGCAAAATAACTTTTTTCTTCACCGTTTCTCCAAAAAGTTACGAATTATTTAAAAGACGAAAACAATTGTACCTTACGTCAACAAATGCAGTTCTCTCCAATGCTCCATAAACAACTCACCGAACGGTTAAATATAAATCGTTCAACCCAAAAGGCGATTAAATACTGAATAGGTCGAAAAACTCGATCTTAATATAGCATTGGAAAAGAAAAAACACCGCGAACAGTAAAGTATCACATCTAAATGTGTCAAAATAGAAGCGTTCTCAACTTGAAGTTCGCTTCCTGAAGTGTCAATTCTCGACAAATGGCGTTCAACAATGCCATAAACTCACTGATATCACATAACTTTGTCAAGAAACACACCAGGCCGGTACTTACTGTTTGCAAAACTTCCTCACAAAAATAGATAACTCAACTCATCGCGCACACACAGCCATGTTGAACATGTTCTTATTTCACATAGGCTGCATTCGTGAAGTTCGCAGATTCGCTCCCGGTAAAACACGACGTTCACAAAATTTTGTTTTTATTATCTGTAACACGATATATCACCAAAAGTTCATTTTAACTAATTTTGATTATGTAAACAAACTTTGCTCCACCTTCACAAACCCAATAAACCTAAACTCTTTCAGCGTCTCAGCGTGTTAACCGCCAACCGCTCTA